ACATTTCGGCTAGTATGAGAATATTCATAGCTCAAGTTACTCGAGAAACTTTTTGCCCTCAAGTCTTTTTGTCTCATTCATTCATTCTACTCATCTCTTCAAATACATTGACATTAAACACGTGTGTCATCCTCTTTAACTCCTCATCTACATTCTTATCGGTGGAAATTGAGGTTTGCCGACTTAGAAATATTCGAAGTCGTTTTCTGCTGCCAGCGACCCCATTCCTGGTATATCATTCATTTCTCTCTCTCGACTTCTTCTTTTGCGATTGTATTCTTGTTTGGGCGGTTTGATAGTGACAGGTTGTTTGCCTGATTGAAGGACCAGAACTGATTGGATGGCTAAGAACCCACATATCTTCTAGAGTTCAGAATTTGTATGGGAAAGGAATTCTGTTTGGCGTCAATCCATGTATATATCTATCTGTAAGGTAAACCAAAAAAATAAATTTTCATATCCTACCAACATGTATAAGTTTTATGGTTTTTTTTTATTTATATAAATTTTGGGAATTAATACAATTTTTGAGTGTCATTTAAAAATTTTAGAGGTCATTAATAACTTTTTGAGGACAATTTACAAACTTTGGGGGCTTTTTACAATATTTTGGTTACTTGGGATTGATTCTAAAATTTTTTAAAATTAATCCCAAATACTGAAAAAATTATAAATTGACGAGCCTAGATCCAAACTATGCCTGACCCAGTTCGTAAATTGAGCTCAAATCATTAAAAGGCAGGCCAAACTTAGTTCAGGGCTTCAGTCCAATTCAAAACTCAAGTCTAAGAAAAGTCAATTCATATAGGAGAGCAATCATCGGGATAGCTATTACTTTAGGATAAAATACATCCCTAATCGTAGCTAACCTCCTTGATAAACTAGTATCTTGACCCTCACGTCATCATCTTAATTAGGTCTTTGCGCCTATAAATTGTAAACTCCTCCTATATATGAAAGTAGAACTGACACACTACACCTTGAGCATGCTATTACTTATGCTCTCTCAAACCCCCAACTACCTGATCTTTATCTTTTAATATTAATTGCTTCATTATTTGTCTTACGTCATATACTCGACTGATTTGATTATTCTTAACCTATTTTATGTAAAACAATCTTACATAAAATTTATAAAATTAATGGTCCAATACCGAATTTTTCTCTTTTTTCCGTAATATTCTCTATCCATACGTCAAATGTCGAATATCTCAACAAAGCGAACACGTAAAAAGGAATAATAGGCATCTTCCAGCTCTCCCTATACAAATCCTTGGCGTCCACCAAGTTCCTCCAGACCAGACAAGTCATCCAATTCCAGCCACAATCAAGAAGACCACCCATATTTGTTTTCTTTTTTGGCCAAACCACCCATATTTGTTTTGAGACTGACAAACTACAACACAACTCCTTAAAAGGATAAGTGTCATAGCCGTCTTATATACACACACACTCCTAAGGCTATCCGATGTGGAATAGCTCCTACCCATCGATTCACCTTTATTTGTTCAAACACATCGGATTCTTGATCTAATGGTTAAAAGAAAAAAAAATATTTATCAAATTTGGAACGGCCGTTGAAAATTTTAAAATCGGTTATGATCAATTACCTATGTTTGTTATTTAATAAGTTTTGAAACTGTTGACATCGACTCAAAAAAATATAAAAATAAATTCTAATTTTTTGAGATCAATTTTAATCGACTCCTATGAGTTTGGTTTTTTGTACCATGTTAAGAAACAATTGGCGTAGTAAAAGATCAATCTCTCTCTCTAAAAACTTCACAAAGAAACGATCGACTCTCTCCCCCAACCATGTGTACCAGTGTAAACAATTTGCGTTTCCCTTTTCTATAACTAGTGTTGCAATTGGACATCATAGATTGAAGTCACCAAAATAATTAGTATACATGGAGGTAAAACTGCATGCATTTCGCCATTTCTACTCTCCGTAGTGGCAAGAACTTTGTGCGTTGAATTATCTTTTGTAGTGTTGTACCTGTTCTAAGAATTGAAACTTACATGATAGTTTTGCCAAGGAACGATTGTAAAGGAATTATTCTGGCTAAATTTAAGACCCTCAACAGGGTTTTCCATGACGGTTCAATCTAAAAGTGCTCTTGATTGAATGGAAATATGACCATATCTATCAGATTTTGAAAAATTAAAGATTGACACACGGACAGCTTTTGCATAATAACTTAAAATTTGTCAATACACACTCGTAACGAAGGAAGACAATATTCATCAGCAATCGAATAACGTGACTTAGGGGTGATTACCTACATTGTTACAATGTGCAAACTTTAGAGATGCAATTGAAAAACACTTAAAGAGGCCAAAACAAAATTCTGCACATTTAAGGGATCATAGGTGTAATTAACCCTAAAATGAAATGATAAGAGTTTGCAGCATATCATTAGTAGGACCAAGTCAGCCAGAGTTTCAACTAAAGAAAGACTTGAACAAAAATCATAACAGGTCAAGGAGAAAATATTCAATGTAAAGGTTACAGTGTGTTGTAAGGGTCCAATAATAGATGAAAAAGTGGGTAAGTGAAGCTCACAAAATTCAATAACCACCCATTTATGTAATATCAGAACCACCTCATGTAAGAAGTGGGATCACTAATTCCATTTTCTAAATATTTTATTTGACAGTTACACACAAGATATTGCTAACACGATATAACCGTTATATTGAATACTTGCTCATCATCAAGAAAACCTCACTGAGCCTAGATAAAATGGAAACCTTCATTACGCCAATACCTTGATCTCAACTACTTACATGTATGTTACAGGGCAACAGCATAGCTCATACCACCAATCACCAGCCGCCAATTTAATATTTTGTCGAAGATATGAAAGAGAAAAAAGAGGGGGGGGGGGGGGGGGGGGGGGGGG